CAGCTTGAGAAATACTCCAGTATGTGTATGTGTATGTGTATGTGTATGTGTATGTGTGTGTCCCAAATCCCCACAGGCTGGAGAAAAGGAGGAGAAGGGATTATGGCGTGATCAGGCCCCATCGGGGGTTCTTTCTCCCTCCCCCTTACTTTTCCTCTCCGTCTGGTGAGTGCACATGCCCCTCAGCAAATTTAAAAAAATAACCCTTTTAATTTTGTGTTTGTTTTGCTACAAGGGCACGTGCACTTGTAGCAAACAGGAAGAGAGAGGGAAAGTGAGAAACCACCACTACCACCACTCGCCGCCAGGGAAGATGGCCACACCATAATCCCTTTTGTTTTACTCTTCTCTTGGGGTTTGGGGCACACACGCACACGTGCCTGCCATGTTTTCCTAATCACAGGCTCTAGGACACACACCACACAGTAGGCCATGTGGGATCCAGCACCTTACCCACTGTGCTACCTGCTGGCTCCGTTACCATTTTAACTCTTAGTGGGGGTGCAGTTCAGTGGCATTAAATACATTCACGTTGTACAACCATCACCACCATCTGTCTCCAGAACGCCTTCTCTTTCCCAAACTGAAACTTTCCCATGAAAGAGTAACTCTCCATTCCTCCTTTTCCTACCCCCGATAACCTCTAATCTGCTTTCTATCTCTCTAATTTGACTTTTCTAGGTACCTCATATAAGTGAAACCATACAATATTATGTCCTCATTTATATTTCTTTTATTGCCCAAAGGCACATGCGCTCACTAAAGAGAGAAAGAGAACCCCCAGTGGGGCGTGGTCACACTGCAATCTTTTTTCCTCTATTTCTCTATCCCGTCAGGATCCCAGACATGCACTTAGCATGTTTTTCAAGCTGCTGGGGCCAGGATTCAAACCACAGACAACTATATGAGATCCATCCAACTCCCTGTGCACAGGGCTCAACTGCTGTGCTACAGGGCTGCCCTGGGTTTCTTTTCTTTTTTTTTTTTTTGGAGAGGTTTTCGCTATAGGGCACATGCGCTCGCCAGACAGACAGAGAGAGACATAGAGACAGAAAGCGAGAAATCCCCCCCCAGGGGGGATGGTCACGCCGCAATCCCTTCTCCTCCATTCTCCTCTCGCGGGATCTTGGGCGGGCACGCACGCACACGTGCCCGGCGTGAGTTTTAAGTCACCGGGTCCGGGACGCGAACCACGGTCAACTACATGGGAGTCCAGTGACATAGTCATTATGCTAACTGCTGGTTCCCTTTTTTTTTGAAGAGGTTTTTGCTATAGGGCGCGTGCGCTTGCCAGACAGAGAGACAGAAAGCGAGAAATCACCCCCAAGGGAGAATGGCCAGGCCGCAATCCCTTCTCCATTCTCTTGGGATCTTGGGCACCCACGCACACGCGCCCAGCATGAGTTTAAGCCACCGGGTCCGTGACTCAAACCACGGTCGACTACATGGGAGTTCAGCAACATAGCCATTATGGTAACTGCTGGTCCCTGCACTGGGTTTCTTATAAGACAACTAAGCTTAGCTACTGCGTAGGAGCCATTTCCAAGCAGGCCAGCCTCAGTGTGGCAGTAGTGCAGGATGGAGGGTGCTGTGTGCTGCAGGCTGTCCTCAGGCTAACCCAGCTGAGACTGCCCTGTATACAGGGCATTTGCAGCTACTGATCCTACAGTTGTGGCCAGGTGGTTCCTGTCTAGACACCATGGCCGGATCTGTCATTTCTTTCACACTCGCTGGTTCAGATGTTTGTATTTGACCAAAATCTGATGAGATTTTTCTGCCATTTTAAAAAGCAGTGCATATTCATGATAAAACATTCCAAATGTCCAAAAATTCTCTCCTCCTCTCCAGCCTCTAGCCCTCTTCCTAGAGGGAGCTGAGGTTACCCATCTCTTTGGTAACTTTCCAGAGATATTCAGTCCATATGAAATTCCTATGTGTGTGTGTGTGTTCCTGGTATGGTATGTTAATCTAATAGAGTGTTACTCATAGCTGTGGTTAAATCAATACCCAGGGCTCACATTTTTTGTGGTTATGGAAATTCTGTTTTCGGCTGAATCATGTAATATATTATAATGATATGCTACTTCTTGAATCACTTTCTGACTTCTGTGAATTTAATAGTATTCTTGCTTGTGAGTTTGTATAATTTCCCAAGAATCATTCACTCTGCCTTCCTTAAACTCTAAAGGAAATGTGCCCCTCCTCTCACAATGACAGAATTATCAGAATAATAATGTTATTGGAGAAGCCTGTCCTGGTCCCTGCCTTCTCATGCTTCAGTCTGGGCAAGTTGTCCTCCAGGTTGAAGACCTCCTCTGTGGTCTAGTCCCTGTTTCCTGGTGCGCAGATCCTCTTCTGTCTTAGTTTTCACTCTCTCGCTATTTTTTTTGTTGTTGTTGTTAGAGGTCATATGCACTTGCCAGAGAGAGAGAGAGAAAGAGAGAGAAATGAGGGGAACTCCCTCACTTTGGCACAAAGCCCATCTTCCATTAACTTCCTAGAACCTGCATGTTCTGAAAAATGCCATTTTTCCCACCTTCACCTTGAAGGAGTTCGGCTGGACACAGAATTCAAAAAGGAAAGTAATTTCCTGTAAGATGTCCATGTCATTGACATAGTCCCCCTGTGTTCCCAGAGTTGCCGTTGAGAAGTACAGTGCTATGCCCGTTCACTCATAAGGGACCAGCTTTCTTCTCTTGGGACTTCTGGGTCCTTCCCTTTATCCTGGAGTTGCAACATTCCTAACCAGGCCTCGTGATGGGTCTTTTTTCTCCCACTCTGCTGCCCACGGAAGGGCCTGGTTAGGAAAGACCTGCCTCTTCAAGGCTGAGGCCTTTTCTTAAATGATCCTATCTTCCCTTTTCGTGTTCTTTCTGGAACTCTTAGTAGTCAGGATGCCAGATTGCTATTCTGAGCTCCTAACTTTTGGGTTTGAGCTTCCTGTTTTGGCTGGGGAGAGGGGAGAGTTCAAGAGCAGCCCCTCCTCTGGTCCCCAGCCCCTCCCTCGTGCTGCCCTCGCAGGGGAGCCCTCCGTGAGGTCTAGAGCACCAGGAGTAGAATCATCTGTGGGAAATCTTTGCTGCGATGTAGGTGAAATGGGCCTGGCCTTGCCAATTAATGCAGGCACCTAGTCTGGCCGGCTGGGCGGTCACTAAACTGTTCATGATGTGAGTGACTAAAGACAAAGCGTGCATTGTGTTCCCTTCGTGCTCCTCGTGTTTCTTTTCTGTTCCTGGGCGGAATTTTCCTTGCTGGTTGGCTCAGGGTCTGACCAACTCTATATCAGATGTTCTCTAACAGATAGCGCTCTAACTGGAGCATAAGGAAAAGAAAAGGGGTTTATGATAAAGTCTTTGGAACTTCTTTCTTTTTAAAATTTTAAAAAGAATTATTTATTTAATTTTATTTATTCTTTTTTTAAATTATTTTAATTTGACCAGAGAGAGACAGAGAGAGAGAGAGAGAGAAAAGAAAAGTGAGAAAGCAAGCCACAAAGTCCAGGACTCAAACCATGGTTGGCTACGTGGGAGTGTCCAGTGCCTTAACCACCAATGCCCCCCGCTGATCCCTCTTTTTAAATTTTTTTATTAGTTTTTGCTACATGGTGTGTGAGCTTGCTAGAGACTGAGAGAGAGAGAGAGCAAGAAAACAAAAAAGAAGGAAAGTGAGACACCCCCCCTCCTCCGCCCTCCAGGAGGATAGCGACAAGGCAGTCCCTTCTCTTCCATTGTCCTCTCAGGATTTGGGGTATGCATGCACATGCATGCATGTGTGTTTTTCAAGCATCTGGAGCCAGGACTCCAACTGAGCAATTGGCCATGTGGGAATCTGGCCACCTTAATCTTCACGCCACCTGCTCTGGCCCAAAATAATTTGAATTTCAACATGTAAATGCTGGGAATTTTGCCTCTAGACTGTTTTAGAACTGGAGACTGTTACATCAACTTTTCCCGGTCTCCTCTGACACCATGCTGATTTCAGGTTTGTCAGCCCCACTGTCATGTGACCTGATTGTCACCCATGTGACCTAACTGGCTACCCAAGAAGGGTAAAGACCTGGGGAGTTGCATGGTAGTCCACCCCCAAGCACATGGCACATGGCGGCTGCAGATGTAGTGATGCTGTCACGGGTCAATTTCTAAAATGATAGCTCCAGAAAGTTTCAAACAGGACAAAGGGATCCCAACCCTCCATTTTTATGGTAGTCACAGTCTTGGGAAACTAGGTGGATATTAACGCCATACAAAATGTTTTGTGTGTTTATAAAATCAAATTTGTTTCTAGTCTCAGAAGGTCATTTGGGATATGGAACGGTTTCCCCTGGCCCCTAAGAGCCACGGTGCCCTCTAATCATTGTGATCACTAAAATAAACTCCATAAACTCTCAAAATGCACTGAGAGGGCCAACCCCCACTGTACAGAACCCCTGGAGTAAAGTCTGCCTTAGAGATCAAGACAGGTGTCAGCATATGTATTAGTCAGGGATCTTCAGACACAGAACCACTAGGAATATATACATAGGGAGAAGAGAGGGAAGGAAGAAGACAGAGAGGAAAGGGAGGGAGAGAGAAATTCACTTTAGTGAATTAGATCACCCAGTAATGGAGATGGACAAATTTGAAATCAGCATTGTGTAGACTGGAAACCAAGGAAGAAGCTGACCCTGCAGTCTCCAGTCCTAAGGCAGTCTGGAGGCCGATCCCCCTCATCTGCAGGGGGCCTCAGTCTTCGTAAAGCCAACTGATGAGGCCCACCCACCTTATGAAGGATAATCTCCTTTACTCAAGGGCTGCTGATTTAAATGGTCATCACATCTGAACAATGCCTTCACAACACCACCTAGACTGGTGTTTGACCAACCGACCGACCACAGCCTCGCCAATTTGACACAATGAAATTAACCATCACAGCATATGACACAGAGGTTGAAAATGTTTGTTTCTGTAGTAGGAACTCATAGGGCAGTCACTGTAAATATGTCTATGTGTTTTTCTTTGAAGCATAACCAGTGTGCAGCGTTCAGACAATGGGACGTATATCTGTAAGATGAAAATAAACAATGAAGAGATCGTGTCTGACCCAATCTACGTGGAGGTACAAGGTATGTCCAGAGGCCACAGTGTCATTGCAGACAGACTAATGTTTTAGAGCCTATATTAAATATTTGGTGGATAATGCTCTAGAGTTTGGCCCTCCTGTATATATTTCCATATGCAAACCTTGCAAATGTATCAGTACTGAAATTTTACAATTTTAGACACTGAGCAATAGTGTAAATTAATTCAGTTCTTAGAGTTGGAGTGCCATCCTAGGTATTAGAGGTGAGATCAAAGAGAAATTATGGGCTTCCTTGTTCTGCAATTATTTATAATTTTAGAAAAGCTAAAGACTTCCTCTTAGGAAACAAAATGCATTCTGTTACTCAGTTCTCAAGCAGCTCTAGATACCACTCACCTGGTTACGTTGCTGTTTATTAATCGGTGTTATTTTCCTGTCTCCTATATGCAGATGGGAGGGCGAGTGTTTGTTTTGGACTGGTCAGTAGTTCAGACTTCCTTGGGGTCCTAGGATCTGCTAGGCACATGGTGCCAAGAAATTCCATGAGATCCCGTGGGCATCAGTAGGGGTGAGGAGTGAGACATCCGGTGAGGAAGAGGCATTGTCTGCCCTCCAAGAACTTGAACTCTAGTGGGAGTTGATGTGAGCCGATGCACAAGTGAACTGGCCCAGGCGAGCTCAGATACCGGGTTTGAGGCCCTGGTCTGAAGGTTCGCATGTTTGGTTCTGCAATGGCAGGACTCAGTCAAGAAAGGCTGCGAGGGGGAACCTCCTTTATTACCACCCTCAAGGGATTGCTCCCCACTACTCTGGGGCTTCCCTACAGGGCCCCACATCCCTACTCTCTGAGGTGCCCCTATCAACAGAGTGTAGATCTCTCTTTCTTCTTTTCTTTCTTCCCCCCTCCCCCAAAGGGCACATGTACTCACTAGAGACAGAGGAAGAGAGAGGGAGAGTGGAATGTACCCCCAGTGATGTGTGGTCATGCCACAGTCCCTTCTCCATTTCTCCATCCTGTTGGGGTCTGGGGCATGCAAGCACATGTGTCTGGCTTGCACCAGGTCTGGGACCTGGGCCGCATAGCCGACCGTGTCAGATCCAGGTCTTTTGACCTCTCTGTAGCTTTCTCCAGACCTGCCCTCATCTCAGACTTCCGAGTAGGCGATTAGCTTTTCAACTAGAAGCATCTCCCACCAAAAGGTCTTCTGCTACCCTATCTTTTGTAAGCCTGACCTTAGGACCCCCTAATGCTTCAGGAGACCTGAAGGAGGGAGGAAGGAAGCAGGGAGGAGGGGAGAAGTAAGGAAGGAAGGAGTGAGGGAGGGAGACAGGGAGAGGGGAGAAGAGACTCTCTCAGGCCTTACTCCAGGCCCACCTGGCCAGACAGCTAGTGCCTCAGGGTTATGTCAGTCTCAGCCAGAGATGGGGTTACCTCCATTTGCTGCTACTCTGGAAAAAAAA